GCGTGAATGTGTTCCGCGTGGATGACCCACGCTCAGAGCCACGTGTCCTTCTCGAATTGAGGCAGAAAAAAATGGCGGAAGACGCGGAGAGCAATATTGCTATTCGTTTTGTCGACGAAAACGACGAAAGAGAGATTTCTGCTAAAGCTGTGTCAGCGAAACGGAAATTGTATAGAGCTAACAGTACTGCGGGGAAATCCTTAACACAGTGAATATTCTCTCAGGATCATTTATAATTTACAGTTTGAAGAGAGCAATTTCTGGTTTGATATTTATTCTTTTTTTAGTCTTTTATTATTCAACAAAAATAACACTTGGCGTCCTATAATATTAATAATAATAATAATAATTTAATAACTTCTAGAGCGCTATTTACATTCACTGATCAACAGCGTTCAATAACTTAAGAAAACTACAATAAAATTCAAATTTGTAAAACTAATTACATGTACATGAATATTACTTGCTACTTGCTTTATTGTACAAGCGACCGGTTTCAATAGACCGGCGAAATTTCTCAATTTATTAAAGCAATGAGGTTACGATAACTTCGAGTTAAACTGATTTCACGGGTTGTCAAAGATTCGAGCGATTCCCTTTTCTCAGGTGAGCGTCGGCTCATTTCGCATCAATATTCAGAAATGCTCTCGATCTCTTTACGCTTTCATTGCCTTTCGCCCGACATGTTTTGCATGCCGTTTAGTCATGCGAAACCTCCACGAAACATCCACGCAGCGTGCGAGGTAACTTTATCCCGATTCTAAAAATAACTCGAGACGAATTACCTATAGAATAGGGTGTGTATGGGGGATGCCTTCTCTGTCCCCTTTATCCTCTCTTGCACTAATCCAAAAGCTGAAGTCCTGTCCAAACGAATCGGGGCATTTTTGTAACGGCATAGTTTCTTTGCCCGGATTCGTGTACACTGGGTCTCTTCTCCCTTTTTTTTTGAAACCACTCTGGAGAGCGCTTTCAAAAACATTACAGTGCCGGATCCTGACCTTGAGCAGGGCTGTCAACCCCCCACGTCATCAAATATTGAGAATTGAAAGGGAAGGAATGATAGATTACGTCATATCACATGACAAATGACGTCATTTGTGCCAAAAATGCTCGTTGTTTCCAATCGCCATAAATTGCACATAAACAGTTCATATTTAGCCACATTATACAGTGGCATACCAGAATTTATGAGGAAACGTTCCATGTTGACCGTAGCTCAAACAACGCAAAAAATTTGTCGGAAAGTTGAGTCTACAAGAAATTGCAACTTTGGCGGTTATCCGGGAGATATCAGACTCTAATCTCAGGGGCACCCAACGAGGTTTCCTTCTAAATACATTGAAAACACTTTTTAGGCTATCCAGGTTACTTTCAGGAAATGCAGGCGGCGCTATATAATTGTACCTGTTCGGTCGTCCTAGGGCAGTTTGATACTAAAATACTATCAATACTAAAACAGGGAAATTCCTACAGAATAAGTTTCATTGACTTTTATTTTTAGCATTTTACAAATTTTAGCGTCCTAATTAATACCTTTTCCAAGGCTCAAGGCTCTTGACTTTAGGGCACTAATTCAGAAGACTACTGCTTTTGTTTTACACCAGCATGGTTCAGAAATTTTATTATTATCGGACAAGCACAAAATATTGTAAACTCCGACCCATAGCCGCTTCACTCAAGTAACTGCTTCAGGACGTGAAAGAACTACAAGAAGCATAACAATCTCTGGCAGTGACCATCCTTTGTGTCTACCTGTCATGAGTTGTGGCACTGGGAAATGAGGGTCCATTAAATTCTTTCTTGTCTATCTCCACTGGAATGAGGTCTGTGAACAGTAAAGCCGAAAAAATCTATAATGTAAAAAAAAATGAATAAATAAATATGACATGTCACCAGCCTCTTACTCTAAACATGTGAGAAATCTGGTACTCACTACTTTCACATAGACCATAATGCACCTTGTTTACCCCCTCCCCCCCCTTCCCCCTCCCCGCCAAATTTTGCATAACCATTGTTTCCAATTTCTCCCGGGTAATACAGTCGTCCCCCACCTCGTTATTACGACCAGGATTCTATGGTGCAGCCGTGGTGGCATTAACAGGGTTCCACTGAAACCATGCAATTACTACAAGTTTGATCTGAAATCACGACTAAAATCGCTCAACAATCGCCAGTGTAAGCCAGCCTTAGCACATTGAAGCGTCCTTTAGAGGTTTGTGGATCCTTTGTTTTCCCTTTGCCGGATGTTAGAGAGCAAAAACGAAGTATGAGAGGCAGACATAACTTTGAAATCGGAAAATTGTAGATTTTTGCTTATTGCGCATCGTCATGACTACAATTTATGATCTTTTGAAACTCTACGTTTATTTTAAGAAACTAGCCAGGAGAAGATAAAGAGAGGCGAAGTTTCCTATCTAACAAAACAATGCGATGGCAGGGCTTGTACTAGCACCTACAGACCCGGTGTCAATAAATGACTTTTACAACTGTATATTTACAAGTATAGCTATTGTTTTGAGACTCTAAAACAGTGGCTGCACTTGTAAATTACACTTTAAAAAGTTGTAGTAAATTGACCCCCGAGGTCGGATGTGTTAAACACAACCACATCGTCTCCACTGGTAATATTTTCATAAATGTAGAGATACTACATGCAAAACTTAAAACACTCATCTTCAAATTGATTTTGAGAAGCATTAACATCATGTAAGTTGTTCGTTACTCTCCACACCCATTAAAAGAAAATGGAAACTCGATACCCCATATAATATCACTGAAAAAAAAAATCTAATCACGATTCATGAGAAATAAGATCAGTACAAAATGTGCAAATAGCAATAGAAAATATGATACAAATTAACTGCAAGTCGTTCTCGATGTTGCCTGAAAAATACAAAAACATTACAGTTAATAGCGCGATGTTATTCTTAATGAAACTATTTTTTGATTAGAGATGTTCAGATAGAAATAAGAACTATAAAAAAAGAAATACCAAAAGGATTATGAAACACAGTTACTCGATCGTACAGCAAAAGAGCACCTTCAGTGTTGCAAACAATTGAATATTCACTTTTGGAGACGAGTGTCCTCACCAAAAGTTAAATTAAATTCACTTTTACCATCAAATCGTCCACTGTCGAGCATCCGTGCAAAATGTTGGAGCTTGATTACCATGGTGACAGATAAAGCGATGTGATGGGTAAAAGAGTTTAGTGTAACGTTTACCAATCATCCACATAACAGTGTATGAATGACAAACTATAATCATATGTCCGGGCCTCATCAAGCGCGCAATACATTGAATAAATGATAAAGCGCTCGTCGCTCTTCATGTACATAATCTTTCAACCAGTTTGGTCAAAAAATTCGTGTGATTAAGCATAGCTAGTCCCATAGCTACATATCAAATTCTTACATAAAACTTTTTTATAAACAGATTGTTCTATCAAAAACTTGCTTTCTTCTTCGATTATGTTTTGGTAGCTCAACATTCCATTTTCATTGTAACAGAAGTATTAAATACATTTACAAAACTATTAGAGGGTAATTGTAAAAAGGTATATACTATTTAAATACTTACGGCTAAAAGAAGCAGAGGTTGAGGCCGAGCCACTTGGCGACACACTGGGCAATGTGGAGGCTGAGGCAGTCATTGACACACAAGCTGACAAGCTAGCAGAGGTAAATACCAAGGCACTGGTCGACACACTCGACGATTTGGAGGCCGATTCCCTGGTCGACACACTGCCTGACCCGCTAGCAGAGGTGGAGGCCGAGATGCTTGGCGACACACTGGGCGATGTGGAGGCCGAGGCACTAATCGATACACTGGCTGACACGCTAGTAGAGGCGGAGGCCAAGAAACTTGACGACACACTGAGTGATGTGGAGGTTGAGGAACTGGTCCACACACTGTTTGACACGCTAGCAGAGGTAAATGCCAAAGCACTGGTCGACACACTGGACGATTTAGAGGCCGACGGACTGGTCGACACACTGACTGACACGCTAGCAGAGGTGAAGGCCAAGACACTAGGCGATGTCGAGACCAATGCACTAACCGAAACACTAGCTGACACGCTAGCGGAAGTTAAGGCCGAAAAACTTGGAGACACACCGTGCGAAGTGGACACCGATGCACTAAACGACACACTGGCTGACAAGCTAGCGGAAATGAAGGCCGAGACACTTGCCGACACACTGAGTGACGTGGAGGACGGGTCCCTATAAGACACACTGGCTGACAAGCTAGCTGTGGTGGAGGCCGAAACACTGGTCGACACGCTGGCTGACACGCTGGCAGAGGTGTAGGCCGAGACACTTGGTGACACTCTGGGCGACGTGGAGGCCGAGGCACTGGTGGACACGCTGTATGACACGATAGCAGAGGTGAAGGAAGAGACACCTGCCGACACACTGAGTGATGCGGAGGACGGGCCCCCATAAGACAAACTGGGTGAGAAGCCAGCAGTGGTTGAAGCAGCAACACTGGTCGACACCCTGGCTGACACGCTAGCAGAGGTGGAGGCCGAGACACTTGGCGACACTCTGGGCGACGTGGAGACCGAAGCACTGGTCCACACGCTGTCTGACACGTTAGCAGAGGTGGAGCCCGAGACACTTGCCGACACACTGAGTGATGTGGAGAACGGGCCCCTATAAGACACACTCCCTGACAAGCTAGCTGTGGTAGAGGCCGAGGCACTGGTCGACACGCTAAAAAAGGTCAAGGCCGAGACAATTGCCGACACACTGAGTGATGTGGAGGACGGGCCCCTATAAGACACACTGGCTGACAAGCTAGCTGTGGTGGAGGCCGAAACACTGGTCGACACGCTAGCTGACACGCTAGCAGAGTTGGTGGACAAGACACTTGGCGNATTATGTTTTGGTAGCTCAACATTCCATTTTCATTGTAACAGAAGTATTAAATACATTTACAAAACTATTAGAGGGTAATTGTAAAAAGGTATATACTATTTAAATACTTACGGCTAAAAGAAGCAGAGGTTGAGGCCGAGCCACTTGGCGACACACTGGGCAATGTGGAGGCTGAGGCAGTCATTGACACACAAGCTGACAAGCTAGCAGAGGTAAATACCAAGGCACTGGTCGACACACTCGACGATTTGGAGGCCGATTCCCTGGTCGACACACTGCCTGACCCGCTAGCAGAGGTGGAGGCCGAGATGCTTGGCGACACACTGGGCGATGTGGAGGCCGAGGCACTAATCGATACACTGGCTGACACGCTAGTAGAGGCGGAGGCCAAGAAACTTGACGACACACTGAGTGATGTGGAGGTTGAGGAACTGGTCCACACACTGTTTGACACGCTAGCAGAGGTAAATGCCAAAGCACTGGTCGACACACTGGACGATTTAGAGGCCGACGGACTGGTCGACACACTGACTGACACGCTAGCAGAGGTGAAGGCCAAGACACTAGGCGATGTCGAGACCAATGCACTAACCGAAACACTAGCTGACACGCTAGCGGAAGTTAAGGCCGAAAAACTTGGAGACACACCGTGCGAAGTGGACACCGATGCACTAAACGACACACTGGCTGACAAGCTAGCGGAAATGAAGGCCGAGACACTTGCCGACACACTGAGTGACGTGGAGGACGGGTCCCTATAAGACACACTGGCTGACAAGCTAGCTGTGGTGGAGGCCGAAACACTGGTCGACACGCTGGCTGACACGCTGGCAGAGGTGTAGGCCGAGACACTTGGTGACACTCTGGGCGACGTGGAGGCCGAGGCACTGGTGGACACGCTGTATGACACGATAGCAGAGGTGAAGGAAGAGACACCTGCCGACACACTGAGTGATGCGGAGGACGGGCCCCCATAAGACAAACTGGGTGAGAAGCCAGCAGTGGTTGAAGCAGCAACACTGGTCGACACCCTGGCTGACACGCTAGCAGAGGTGGAGGCCGAGACACTTGGCGACACTCTGGGCGACGTGGAGACCGAAGCACTGGTCCACACGCTGTCTGACACGTTAGCAGAGGTGGAGCCCGAGACACTTGCCGACACACTGAGTGATGTGGAGAACGGGCCCCTATAAGACACACTCCCTGACAAGCTAGCTGTGGTAGAGGCCGAGGCACTGGTCGACACGCTAAAAAAGGTCAAGGCCGAGACAATTGCCGACACACTGAGTGATGTGGAGGACGGGCCCCTATAAGACACACTGGCTGACAAGCTAGCTGTGGTGGAGGCCGAAACACTGGTCGACACGCTAGCTGACACGCTAGCAGAGTTGGTGGACAAGACACTTGGCGACACACTGGGCGACGTGGAGGCCGAAGCACTGGTTGACACGATGGCTGAAACGCTAGCAGAGGTGAAAACACTTGCCGACACACTGAGTAATGTAGAGGACGGGTCCCTATAAGACACACTGGCTGACAAACTAGCTGTGGTTGAGGCCGAAACACTGGTCGACACGCTGACTGACAGGCTCGCAGAGGTGGAGGGCGAGACACTTGGCGACGCACCGGACGACGTAAAGGCCGAGGCACTGGTTGAGACGCTGCCTGAAACGGTAGCAGAGGTAGAGGCAGAGACACTTGACGACACACTGGCCGACGTGGAGGCCGAGAGACTGGTCGACACGCTGGCTAACACGCTAGCAGAGGTGGAGGCCGAGACAATTAGCGACACACTGGGCGACGTGGAGGCCGAGGCACTGGTCAACACGCTGGCTGACACGGTAGCACAGGTAGAGGCAGAGACACTTGACGACACACTGGCCGACGTGAAGGCCGAGGGACTGGTCGACAAGCTGGCTGACACGCTGGCTAACACGCTAGCAGACGTTGAGGCTGACACAGTGGTCAGTACACTGGACGATGTGGAGGAGAAGGCACTGTTTGACACACTGGTTGACACGCTAGCAGAGGTTGACACACCTGCGGAGGTTTAAGTTGATATTTGCTGGATTAAAGTGGTTGAGGGTAATGCAGAAGTAGTTTTGACATATTTGCCTTTAAACTGAAATGCATGGTTTGAATTAATGTTAAGAGTTTGGTAGGACCTCTGCACTATAGGAATTGGAGGAATGGGCAATATTTTTTCTTTTTGGTCTTTTTCTAAGGTTGCCGCTTAGCTGAACGCATTCCCTGTTGTTTAAGGAAATAAAAATAAACTTTTTACTTTAATTTCGAGTACCTTTTTTCTTGTTGATCTAATTACACTTTAAGTGGGTATGGCTGTCGCCCTTCAGGTACGTAAGCGACCAACCTTGAAGGAGTGGCCCTCTTGGGGCGTTATAAGTTTTTTCGAGGGTATTGGAGGTGTGTTAGCGAATAGAATAGCGCTTTCTTTACAGTGGTAGAATAAACCTTTTTTGTTACAAATTCTTGACGCTAGAGGTACCCGTAGGTGCACGACATATAATTGTTACGTGAGAGGGAAAAAGGCTGTTTGAGGTATGGAAACAATGGCTTACCTTAAGCTTTTCGTACGGTTGTAGTTTTTGTAATTCAGTCGCCATTAAAAAAGCACGTTAGAGTTATTTGCATGTTTACGAAAGAGGTTTAGATAATTTTTCACCTGTGTATACTACAAGTGAATGAAGGGATCGAAACATAATGCCAGGTGGAGAGCGTTCAGTGGTTGTCGAGTACCAAGAAGCGAGTACGGCTTCATTGAATGCTTTAATTGCTATTTTTAACTTTTGAAATAGAAAAGTGGTCCACGTATGTAGAACGTTTGAGCTGTTCGTCATGGTAAAGAGTCATCCGGTATTAAAGACTTCGATCAGTGGAAAGATGTGTGCATTGTTAAGGAGATATCGCAAAGGTCAAGGGTTCGAATCCCGTACAAGCCTGAATTTTTTTTCAGGCTTTCTTTTCGCAACTGCAAAAGCTATGTGGCAATATTGGTGACGAGGCTTTGAGAGATAGACTAGTGTACGGTTCAACTTCTAAGGCGGATTACTATACCTTAATAAAAACAAAGGATATTGATGTTTAATACCATCGATTCGACCGACAAAGAAATAACCAAGTTTTCTAAATCTAAGGAAGAAGCAGAATTGCATCAGTCTCATTTGACACTGAAGAGGCACTATGGTGATTCTATTCCAGTAAAAGGGAAAGTTGTTGTTGATGTAAAAAAATATTTCCCAAAAAATCGTCTTAACTAATATAGTCACTATAGAGAGAAAGGTGTTGAACTCATGGCAAGAGATTGGTTGCCCAAGGTTTAGTTAGACTGAGCCCAAATTAATGCTGTGCGATAAGCTAATCAACCCAAACCCAGTTAGTTCAGCAGTACCTTAAATTGATTGATGGTAAATTAGGTACCTAAAAGGTTTTTCTACTGAGCTCAAAGTTAAAAAAGGCTCCACCACAGTATTTCAAGCTCCGTCCGGTAGCACATGTTCTCAGAAAGATAGTTGAGGATGAGATTAGGCGCCTTGAAAAAACGGGTGTTCAAAAAAGTTAAAAGTTTCCACTGGGCCACGACTCTTGTTTTCGGTCTTAAGGTAGATAAAACGTTAAAAGTTGGCGGTGATTTCAAAGTCACTACATGTATCAACGAATAGTTGAATGTCCCATAGTACCCTATTTCTACACCGGATAAATTATTAGAGAGCTTTCTCAACGACGACGACGACGGCAACGGCGTGGGGAACGTCAAAAATACAACAGGTTTAATAAGTAAAAAACAAATTTTGCACGCGCAGCAC